AGCAAGGTTACAAGTGGATAAGAGGTTAGAAAGTTATTTGATTTCCTCTGGCTGGGGAGACTGAACTGTAAGCACTTCACATTCCTGTTCGGGTTCTTATAAACAGATTATTCTTTCAAATGGTCGACAGAGAGTTTATTTTATTGTTAATTAGAGGTAACGATGAAGGGAAGCCATCTGCAATTCAACATACAGTATAGTTCAGTATAACACATCATGGCCGGGCTCTGTACATGTGTTAGAATTAGGCTATAGTCCTCAGTACTTTCACTCTTCAGTGTAACATTAGCCATGTAGGACAGAACTATGGAACACACCCAGCCGAGCACAGAGCAGCTCTCAACTCTACTTCACCTGAGGACACTAAAAGAACAGGCTGACCATACCAGCGAGTCGAAAAACAAGCCTGCAGCCAGAAATCTATCTGCCTTCAGTATGTAGGGTATGACAGCTTTGCTATTCTGTTGCACCAGTGCATTATATCTGATTATATGTGATTATATCTAAAAAGAAATATTTAAACTCTGTGTGTTCTGACAGCAACATTGTAGGGCTGTCCCTTTTATTCAGACAGCGCCTTGTAGTCCGGCAGGTGGCATTCCTAAAATGCACTGGCCATCAGACCCACTACATACCACACGGGCTATTGTTCTTCTCTTAGCGAAATGCAAAGTGGAGAAAACGAGTGAGCCACACTGATTAATGGATAATCATGACACCAAAACATTTGAGTGCCATACCTGGATACATGGAGAAAATCTTGGACAGGGATAAGGGCTGTTTGCTGACGTTGTAAAATGAAACTGCTAAACAATAACATTAGCTTTTGTGCATTAAATATGTATCAAAGTTTAAGGGTAGGGGGCTGTGTTTAAATTAATTCAAACTAATTCATTTGGTTGAATTAGTGCTGCACTATTTTATTATTTTGTGCTATATATACACACTACTTGTATCTGTATGTTGTACATACAGTTATATACTGATACATTCTTCCTCCTTTTGTCTTTTATGTCAACTTTTTTTTAATCCCTTTACTTTAATTGTTTTCATTTTCCTATATTGGATATGGTTTTGTATTCGTCAGTTGATGTAGCTTCAGTGCACCTGTAACTTGTACAATGACAATAAAGGTATTGAAGTGAATTTTGATTTGATATGAAGAAAAAAAAAAAGTATGAATGCAAGCAAGCTGAGTCACCTGACTTTTGAGCCAATCAAAAGCGTCTTGTAAAACGGCACAGTTGGCTGATTGGTTGAGCTTCTGTCAGTCACTACAAAGATAAAGGAGCTCTAGGAATGATGACAAATCAAAACAAAAAGAGGAGTTCATGTCTCCATGGCTGCAGGCGTGGAGCCTCTTAGTTCAGAGGAACATAAACACAATGGAGCAGAGCTGGTTGGTTAGGACTGTCATAAATATCTCCAGCCACACAAACTCCATTTCCTGCATTTCCCTGGAAGGCTTGGAAAAGCCACAAATGTCACTGAGGTAATATAAGTGCTCACTCCTTCTACATGAAGAGGGATAAAAGGAGAGGAGGATGGCACAAACAGAGGGAGAGAAGGGAAAGAGAGGGGAATGAGGAAGGGAGAGCAGGTGTGTGTGTGTGTGTGTGTGTTAGCATGCATGCGTGCATGTGTATGCATGTGTGTGTGTGGGTGGCAAAGTGACAGGCGATGATTAGCTCAACCAGAGGAGGATATGTGGGAGGGAGTGTGTGGGAGTAGTGGGGCTGGCGTGAGAGAGAGAGAGAAGCAGAGAGAGAGAGAGAGAGAGAGAGAGAGAGAGAGAGAGAGAGAGAGAGAGAGAGAGAGACTCTCTTCAGGCAGAGATATACACAAGTGGATTAGAAGAGCACTCGTACTGTATAAACACATAGAAATGACAGGAGATTCATGCACAGAAAATGCACACAACCATGTAACTATAATAGGCATGAAAACAAGCATGCATATACAAGGGTGGATTCCTGTGGGAACAAACTGTGTTCTAAAGGAATGAATTAAGACTCAAGTACAGTGCATGTTGATGTGTTGATTATGAAAACAGCAACAGAGGGCATTATATCACGAGGTAATTTCATCCCGTTTTAAGCACAATATTTGTGTGTGTGTGTGTGTGTGTGTGTGTGTGTGTGTCTGTGTGTGTGACAGAGAGAGAGTGTGTGTGTGTGAGAGAGTGTGTGTGTATGCGTGAGCGAGCGAGCGCGAAGGACAGGAGGAAAAAGAGAGGGGGGAGGAAGAAAGAAATGGAGAGCAGCTGCCGACTCTTAGGTGTGTAGGTGGGACCATTTGCAGCCCGTCTCTTACTGAGCCGCTGTGGAATTATCAGGCTTTAAAGAGGCGCAACAAGAGCTCAAACTCATACACGCACATACACGTGTGTGAGCGTGTGTACATACAGACAGGCCAGAGAAACAAGTCACTATGTGTCTTTTTAGGATAATCAGCCAATCAGCTCCGTATGTCACGATGCAAACTTGTCAATCATGTTACTGATCTGATTGAGTATAGAGGGGAAAATAGTGTCTATGAGGTCACTCCTAATGTGATGTCCATCTCTATCCCTTTCTAGAGTCAGGCCATTCCAAATCTGGACAGTATAGTGGAGCCTGGTTGGAGTTAAAATAGAATAAACTGAGTTTAAAGGCTTGGGAGACCAAAATATACCACTCTTCAAGCCTTTATATCATCTAAGTGGGGATGCAAAGTTGGTTTCAAAATCTCCATCGATACGCACATTAAAAGCAGGTGAAATTAGCTATTGAGACACAAAGTTAGTGTGAAAAATTGACTTCTTCACACACTTTATAATTAACAATTGAAATACTTTGCATGGCAACATCCCTTAAGGAAAATAAGATTAGGACAAGATTAATAACAGGAGATTTAAAAGCTCATTCTAAATTAAGATTACGTTGAAAACAATGCCTCCATTCATACCATATGGTGTATATATTATAAGCGCACGGGCTGTGGTTTGTTGGGCAAACCTCCACTACTCTCTTTTCCTCTAATCTCTGGATATTTCTGTGCGCTCCCATCAGTCAAACAGGAAGCTCTGCGCTAACCCCTGCACATGGTCAGACAGGAGGTCAAGGCACTGGCATCGACCACAGGATGTGGACTTCAAAAATGGACTTAAAAAAAAATAAAAAATCCAAAAAAACAGGTGGCTGGAAAATAAAACAGCACACATCCTTCCCCTGGGAACCGCTGTGGTATGGCAGGGGAGTGCTGGGTGTAGCTGGAACATTGCACTAGAGAATGACACTGAACAACAGGAGCTAATTCCTTTAGCTACATCACAACCTTCCTTTTCAACTTACAGCTGCACAAAGCGATTCAGACAGTGCTGTAGCCTCATGCAAACAGATAAGAAGAGACATTTATGAAGACGGACGAGATGAGTCGTTTGACCAGGACAATGAGTCATTTCAAATCACCAGTCCCATGCAGATCTTCCTCCAGGCAGGGCTTTTGAAAATGGAATCAGTTTTCAGTTCCCTCATACATACTTGTGACAAAAGAGGTGAGTGCATTCATATACTTACACACAAACACACTATATATATATATATATATGTATATTTTTGCTTTCCTCACCAATATGTGCAACAGTAACAGGGAGTCAGCTCACCTACCAGCACACACAGAAATGCAAACACACATTTAAGAGTGTCTGAAAATGAGTATTCTGTAAAATAATAGAGGATCTCTTGCTGTTAGAGGCAAAGTGTTGCAAAAGAGAGATTAGATCAGCTGTCAGTTAGATCAGGAACATTTTGCTCTCTTTTTTTTTGTGACAAGTTCAGCTGAGGATGTCTGGCTTGGAGGAGCTTGCTACTGTAAGCGGGGCTCAGTTTCAGCATGGAGGTACTGCTGTAAACTTCAGAATCAATGGAAAACCTCACAGAGGCTGCAAGACAGAGAGATAGCAATTGAGAGAGAGAGAGAGAGAGAGAGAGAGAGGGCCGCTTGCTGAATAAAACATCCTGAGAGCACTTTCATGTCAGTCCCTGTTGGCGGGGCTGGAGGAAACCCAAACTGGATCTCAGCTCCACTGCAACAAAGGCCCCGTCAAATCAACAGCTACTTCTACGCAGATCAAGCTGTCGAAAGCGCAATCAGTGCAAAGGGAATCTCTTCAAACAGGAGCTGATTTCCCCACGGGCTGGCGACAGCAAACACAGAAACACTCACAGACACCGATCACCTGGGAAACCACTCACTATGAGGGGACCAGGTGTTGTTTCTTCAATTGACCTTTACATTTGTAAAATGAAAACACACACACACACACACATTCACACACACACACATACACCTAATTGACAGGACAAACACACATCACATAAGGTGCAACACGTCTGGCATCTGCTATACTGACACCACACAGAGAATCAATACATCTTAAACTGGAAACACATCAAATTGGCAAACTCCTACCAGTCATATAAAAAAAAAAGCAGGCTTTTCTAAAATCTTATCTTCATGACAACGTATTGCCTGATACTGTCGTAAATAAATGATGTTCATCTCCCAACTCACTGTGCTGACAGCACTGCACTCATAATTGTTACCCATTTCTTTCTATTGATGACATTTCTCTGACACAAGGAGGCCCATGAATTGAAAAAAAAAAAAAATGTATTTCCTCCAGGACAGTGTGACAACAAACTGCTTAAGACTACAATGATTCAGTAAAAATAAAAAAAAGAAAAAATCTAATTAAAAAAGAAAAAACTCCTCCTCTATCAACCCACACACTCCCTCTGAATGCTACTTGGCTTCCCCTGCCACATTTTTACACACAAAGTTGATGTTAGATGACGTGTGCGTGTATGTAACTGTATAAAGAACTGATGCTGCTGCTGAACCTCAGTGTGAGCGACACCAAGACAGAAAAAAGACAGAAAAAGCAAAAAAGAAGAAAAAAATAAAAAGAGTTAAAAGATAAAAAAAAAGAGTTTATCAGGTATATGTCAGTCACTTACCTAAATCTTTGGATCCTTGACTCTCACTGGCCAGTTCACCCATTCTGACCAGAGCGTCAAAGTAGCCTTTGGCAGCAAATGTCACATCTATAAGCAAAAAAGAAGAACAAAAAAAAAAAGAAAAAAAAAATCAAGTTAAAGGTCTTTTCAAATTTAAAAAAAAAAAAAAGACATACTATTATACATTTAAGATTTGTGAAAACTCAGTGGTATTGAATCACAGCTTCTTGCCATCAGAAAATAAGGAAACACTGATGTTGCCGCGCAATTACTCAACATCATCTAGTTGGCACTCTGCATGCTTGATTGCAAAGAGGAAATTATTTTCTGACAAATAATCTGTGCTTGCTGGGTGAGCTGCACAACCACTAAAAACTCTTTTCTGTTATGTTTGCTTCTGGCTCAGTGTTATAATGAGAAGAGAAGTTGGGTTATTATAACCCCAGGGTGTGTCTGAGCATTAGGTTTAATATTTAGAGGCTTTTTGTTTTTTGTTTTAAGAGCTTGTCTATTGGTGGCATATGTACCACACATTGTAGTGAGTCTATTAAGATTTGATGCTGGCGTGTAATATGTTTAGATGTTTAGTGGGGATGATGTTTATAAGAGTGTGGAACAGAGTGACTGGGTGGGAGTGTGTGGTAATTCAGGTGGGCCAGTTTGAGTCCAAAAAAAGCACAGAGGCATTCTTCATTCCTGCGCTCTTTTTGATCTGTGATCAAATGAACCGAAAAAAAAGAGAAGAAAAAAAGTCTTTGCCAGCCAATAGCTCTGAGAAAACATTGTTATCTCACCAAGGAAATAGCACTGCCATGCTGTTAACCACTGGCCACTTCCATTCAATTTCATCTTTTTCTGTCAATATGTCTGAACACTGGACCACAGGGTGACACAGTCATTTGGGGAGACTGTTGATTAAAGTTCACACACCTGCGTAGACAAGGCCTCCACCTACCGGGGTTCCCCTCAGCAGCACTTTTGGTTTCAGGTTATGCTGTTGTGTGGCCGACGCCACACCGCGACTTTTCATTAGAGGGGGGCAAGCAAAAGAACTTTCTCTCTATAGCGTCGATTCAAGGGATACACATGCCCGTAAAAATGCATGGTGTTACCCGACTGCTTTATTTACCGCTGTAAACGGATGCAGTCGTGGGTCACAACAAGGTGTCACACGTACGGCATACACACATGTGCAGAGTGGTACGCACACAAAAAGCTTGACCTCTACTCCAGATCTTTAGCGTACACAAAAACAATCTGTGAGGTTAATCCTAATCAGCAGGCCCTATCTCTCCTTCTCTCTCGCTGACTAAATAAAGATCACGAGGACTCCTGGTTGCCCAGATCAATAACCACCTCAGCCCTTATTATTCCGACTGCTGCTGTGCTGGCCAAACAAAGGTCACACAGGGCAGAGTCAGCTCCCAGTGATTTCTGCCCTACTGCCATACAGGGCTGCCAATCAGCCCATCTCCACTGAATAATGGCCACTGGTTTTTTTTTTGGTTTTTTTTTGGAGGTGAATTCAACAGCGGTCCAGGTGACAGATGGGCCCTGTGCCTGCAGACAGCTGCCAGGTGAGAGACACATTTGCAACAATAGCCTGGCAGAGGCAGGCTAATTCCAGCAGACAGATGCAGCCCTGCGATATAGAGGAAGTCTCCCGGGCTGGAAGCCTCGCAGCTCTGCTCCAAGGCTGAGGGACATATGCTAATGCTAATCCCAATTACAGCTGAGTCAACGGCAGAAGACGCCGCGTGTTTCCACCTTCTTCTCTTGCTGGGGGAAACACCTGAGAACTGAGAGCCGAGTGCCCCCCCCCCCCCGAGCATCATTTCTCTTCATTATGCCAAACAGACCTCCTGCCTTGCTTGATGTGGAAAGTGTGTGTGGATGTGATGTGTGTGCACATGTGAGTTTTCACATATGTGGTAGGGAGTAAGATGGTGGGAGCTTCAGCAGATTTTCAAAGAGATCTCCAAGCAACGGACACTTTCTTCTTGCTGATGCTGCTGCTGTGTGTGTGTGTGTGTGTGCACGGGCATGTGTTTGCATTTGAAGGATGGTTGAGAAGATAAGCTGGCTCTATATGGATACTTTACTTCTATCTAATGAAATGTGTGGTGAGGGGCTCACAGCGACAGACGGAGAGGATTACCAGCTCTCTGATTGCAAGGCAGACAGCCGATCAGTAGGGGAGGGGCTCATCTCAGAGCTACTCATCCATCACTCCTGCTTCACTCTAGAGAAGAGGAGGAAGAACCACTCATCTCTTAATCAGGACAACCATCGTTTCCTGTACCTGCATCGTCCTCCTCGTGCTGCCGGGGGACTTGTATAACAAGCTCCGCGGCCGTGTTTGGTAGGCAGCGTTGAACTCATTCAGTTGTATGCATCTGTTGCTTTTACACTTACCAAGCGCCGTGAGATTCAGCGACTGACTGCTGTGCTGAAAAACATTCCCAGATCTAGCAAGCCTACCCATGGAGCCCTTTTGGCATTTCTGATGTTGAATAATTTCAGTGATTGCACCATATGGGTGGAAGCATGTCCTCCCATCGCCTGCCCCCGCAAATCAGAGCCAATCCTGCAAAGTGGGTCTTTAATGGCTCAGTGAGTCCCTACCAGTCTGTCTCCTACCTACACCAAGGCCAGGATTAGTTATTGTGTGTGTCAGGGGGAAAAAGCACAGGCTTGGGGAGGGGGGAGAGGCCCCACTAATTGCTGGATTAGTTGGACTGAGGGCGTTCAGCCCTGTGTTAAAGATGAGGGGTGTTCTTGGGGGGGGGGGGGGGGGCAGTTACCAAATAAAACCAGAAATAAAAGGGTGCAGTAGCCAAGTATCCACACATTTCCATTTGTGAATTTGACTGCTGACAGTGAGCTGTCAGTGAGTGAGCATCCTCACTTCTGCAAAGAGATTAGAGGCTTTTTGTGTTTCCGTGAATACACACCTCCACTACAGTGTAGAAGCCGTGCCAGAGGTTGTGCACCACATGATAAGGCCTGCTCATTTGGCAGGAAGATAAATACTGTCCTTTTTCAGTAAGACAGAAGGAAAAGATAGGTAGATAGATTCTTACATGCAGGAAGAGAGCAATAGAAATAGACATAGAGAGAGAGAGAGCTGGCTTGGCTGTGTGCCTGAACCTGCAGCGAAACAGGGACCACAGAGAAAATAAATGAGAAAGAAAGAAGAAGAAAAAAAAAAAAAAAGTACTTACTGGCGAGGGCCTTCTCATAGTTCTTCCCCATGGCAACAAAGTTCCGTAAGCAGGGGTTGAACTGCTCCATGATGGTCTGAAAGAGAAAACAAGAGATAGATGGAAGGTGGAGGTTTCACTTATCTGCAGCGCGGGGGTCAAGGGCAGAAAAGAAAGACTTACACCTTGCTCTATTCATTCTCCCCTGCACTCTCTCTCTGCTTCCCTCTCTCTCTCTCCCTCTCTGATTCCCTCTCTCTCTCTCCCTCTCTCTCTCTCTCTGGCACACACAAACATCCCTCCCAGCTGCACAAAATCTTGTCTCTTACAGTGTAAATAGCTATCGACTGAATCTTTTGGACACACTCGGTGGTTGTCTTGGATGTTAATGAGGGCAAGGATTGGGTTTCCCTGCCCACATTCTGCTCCTCCTATAATGAGAAATAGTCCAGGTGGGAGGAGAGGTAGGAGAGGCTGGGGTTGATGATGATGATGATGATGATGATGATGATGATGATGGTGGCGCCCCAGTGGAGTGGGTAGATGAACTTGTGGACTCAGAACAAAGTGACTGTGAAATTTGCATTGACAGGTTTGCATACTGTATGGTTACCCGTGGGCATTAGATGATGGACACAAAAGCTCAATATGGCCAAGAGAGAGAAGGGCAGTGTAGATGCTACAGGTGATATTTGATGCTGCTGGCCATAATTCGTCAGCATCTACACTTACACTACATCACTGCGATAACACTGGTCACTGTATGAAGGAAATAAGGGCTGCGCTGCCACCATTCTTGTTCTAACTACACACCTAGTTAATGTGTTATAACAAGAAAAGTTTCCTACTGTGACAATAAAGATCGTTTCGTCATGGCAGCGGCTCTCTGCCACATTACTGTAGATATGCTGTATTATACTCCACTGTAGGCAGAGTCAGTCTAAATGCAGAGGATGCATGATGCCTGACATCTCCCACCACCATCGTTTCCTCTACCTCTTCTCTCTTTCCTCCTCCTGTGCTCCTCCAGGGCTTCCTCCAATTAGCCGGTCCCCAGTCAGCTAGTCAGGAACAGCCAGGGGACAGGAGAGACAACCACAACACTGCTGCAGCAGCAGTCCCTACACAAGCCATCAATACTGCAGGAGAACACTTAATAATCTACTTCTAGCCTGAATCCACACTGTGGCAGAATAATATGGCAAGGTGCCACCAGTGTCAACCTGAAACAACCCCAGCAGCTCATCCTGAACATTATATGCCTCGTATCTTAAGTCAGACCTCAGCATTCGTTGCTTTTTGCCTTCATCTTGCCGTCTGTCTTTTGTTTTTAATGAGAGCGAAGATTTGGAAAGGACTGTGTGTGTGTGTGTGTGTGTGTATATGTGTGTGCTGGCTGTGGTGTTTATCCCCATCAGGAGTCGTAGTTCAAGTGGCTTGAGTGCAGCACAACCCGCCTACAGTAGAAATACCAATGAGTCAGACATAAACCAGTGATACTTTCATTACCGACAGTAACTATTTTACTACGCCTCTCCATGACTGTGTTCGCATCTAAAGCCCGTGGAGCAAAAACTGGACTTGAATACAAAAATAGGGACACGATATGAAAAAAAAAAAAAAGTGGTCAGTCACTCACCCCCAGCTACAACAAACACAGATGCAGCTGGGCCTATCGTATCTAGCTTTTGATCAGATTGGTTCACTTATGCTGATAATACGGTTCGCTAACCTTTGCCAATTATTTTCTCAATTCATTAACTGTTTTATCAATAAAGTGTGGGAAAAAAAAAGGCAAGTAATACCAGTTAGAATTTCAAAGCCCAAGGTGATGGATTCAGATTGCTTGTTTTATTTCACCAACAGTTCAAACCCAGAAGATATTCAGTTTTCTATTATATAAGACAAAGAACAACAACAAATATTCAAGAGGCTGGAACTTCAAAACGTTTTAACATCGCCTTGGTCGTTGTGAAAATGGACGTGAGGTACAACAGTGGGCAAAAAAGATGGGTCAGGTGTTATCCAGGTTCCCCTGGCTATTGGCTGGCTGAAATCAGAGGTCACAGTCCTCCCTTTTTAAGTTCCTACTCCTCTGTTAACTGGGTCTTGTCCTCAAGCAAAACGGACTCACACCAAGTCCACGGTGCAGCGGCTCAGCAGCTCTCAGGAACACAGTGAGAGAAACTTCTTTTCAAAAGACAACAGTTGTTCCTGAAGGGAAAAATGTTCTCAAAAATAAAACAGTGCATATTAATGTACTACAGACTCCTAAATAGACAGTTTATTCATTTTTACAGAGGGAATCATATGAGTGTATTGTTTTACATGAATTTATTTCAAAAGTTACCACAAAGTAATGGCAGACTGAGCAATATAAACAAATCTAACGGCAACTCGTGTTGAAACCGGCTCCCTTTATTTACCATGTGGATCTGTTAGTCTGATATACTAGAAGGATAGGAGCATAATTGGGGGAGAATCCCATCTTCAAGCACACAGCACTCGAATGAAAGGTATCTCCGCTCCTGCCGCCTCTAGGAAGATAAAAGACTAACACATCCCTCAGGACCTTGCTAAGGAAATGTTTACGCCTAAATATTTCTTCGCTCTGCCTGATTGTGATGTAAAGTGCATCTCATTGATGAGGATAAGGTCACATGGATGCGTGCGTCACGAGCACATATTCATGCATGTGTGCGTACTCATGCGCACACCTACATTAATACAAGGCTTCTAATAAAGAGTGGTGGTGTTTCAAAGTGGTGGGAGGATTACATAACAAAGCAAAGCCCAGTGCAGCATCATTACGGCACACACTCCCACTGAGGGGGCCAAAGGTAGATGACACGGGCCTGGCTGCCTTTTTTTCTATGTGCTGAGCGCGAACACACACACACACACACACACACACGCTTGCACACACATGTTGACCCACTGGCACTGAATGAACACGATGAACATAAATGAAGTTATGGAACGAGTTCACGTAAAGAATTAGATGATTATTATGCCATAACTATCTTATAAGAGACATAAATTAAAGTGTATTTTAAATGACCGACAGCTGAGAGAAAGTGGAGAGGAAAAAAAAAAAAGAGGAAGAAAAAAAAAAAAAAAACTGAGGTAGTTTCTTTCTTCATCTCTTCCCATTGTTGCTAAATTTGTCATCCCAGTTCTCTTGTACTACATTGTTATCCTAATTGTGGCAGCTAATTGGGAAATGGGGCCAGGAGGCACTTGCAGTTGTGTGACATGGAGAGTGAGAGAGGTATAGAGAGAGAGAGAGAGAGAGAGAGAGAGAGAGAGAGAGAGAGAGATCAAGCAAGTGATTGACTAGAAAATTGCGAGGATGTAATATTCTGAGAGTTACGAACAAAAGGTATGTAATCACGCACTGTATACCCCTTCCCATTCAAACACTCTCTGTATCATCTTTCAATTAAAGAAATAATAAAATAAGAAACATGTCACGGCTGAAGTGTAATCTTTTTCCTTTCGAGAGACGGACCGGCTGTCCACTTTGCGACTGCCTGCGTGACGACTGAATGAATTCATTATCAGCACTCGGGGACAAAAATTAAAGCAGACAATTAAAAAGGAGGGCAGAGAAATGTCTCCTACAAAATGAATCAAATCCGTTTGACACCCATTTGTGCTGTGAGGTTGGACAGGGAGAATATGGAGAAAAGTCGGGAGTGCAAGAATAAAGGCAGGAGATAAGGAAAAACATTATTAAGAGGATTAAAATGATTTCTCCCCATGCCCTAACCAAATGAATTTTTCCTCAGCGTAGAAGTAGCAATTGAAACAAGGTCAGTGTATATGAAATAGATTGCGGGATATTCATCTATCTCTGCTCAGTCTGTTCTCTTCTGTCACACACACACACACACACACACACACACACACACACACACACACACACACACACACACAGTAATGACATGCAAAGGGGGTAATTTCAAAGTAACACCAGCTGACTAGAACCAGGGGGGAATCACGCGCAATCAGAAGCCAGGATGCCATCAACTACTCAATCTCGCCCTCCTCTCCCTCCTTCCTCCATATTCCCTCCTCTCCACGGCAACTAGCCGCCAAGCCTGAAAATGACCAGAATCAGATGAGCACTGAAGCCACCAATTACTGTATTAGTGTGGAGTGTAAGGACTTGTCATGTGGTTACAGGCAGCAAAGGCAGCCAAGCCTAAAGATGTAATCAGGGAGGAATGTAAAGAAAGTGGATAATATGCGGATGTACTCATGACCCCCGTACATTTAGTCTTTCATTTCTTCATAAGGAGCAGTGCGAGTTTATGACGGGTCTCAATCAGCTGGAGGACAGCTGAGACCTTTTGCTCTAAACTAATTACAGTGCCAAGAGAAAATAATCCGGCTGCAGTGTAATCTCCTGTCTGCTCGACTCCACTGATCGATGAGGATGAAGATCTGGGTGTCTCGCCACCTCGGCTAAACTTTCCCAGGGGGAATCCCGTTGTTGCCCAAGTGACTTCACTGAAGCAGGCCTGAACATAATTTAATAACAGAAAACCAATTGTGCCATATATGTTTTGATATCATTATGTGATACAAACGCAGCAAGCCAGGGTACAAGCAAAGTAAACACTTTTCTACTTTCTGTCTAGTTACCAGTTTTAAAATTAACTTTGCAATTATGCAAATGTGTGCAGAGAACATTAGCTACAATTAAATAACATTAAAATCAATGCTTTTTCAGTTTTGCCTCACGGCAGCTATGGGTAAACATATTACTGCAATGACATTGATCTGCTTCTACCAGGCTGTGCAGCTCGAGTCGATTCCAAAATTCTTGTAAAAAAAAAAAAAAAAAAAAAAAAAAAATCACAAAACAAAACAACAATTCAAATGCAATTCATCTATGTTTGCATGTCTAATACATAACCAGTGGCAGGCAGCACATCAGTAGCAGCGGGTCATTTCCCAATGGCCACGACGGTCGTTTTGGCCCGTGCCGTAAACACTCAACTTGACCAGCGATAATACAACAAGCAGGAATGAGTCGACGGACCTCTTGCATCACCTCGTGTGTGCGTGACGGCTACATCGCTGAACTGA